AAGGAGACCTTGACCAAATTAGCTGTAGAGACTGGCTTAAAAGATTGGACCATGCTCCTACCCTATGCCCTTTTTAGGGCCAGAAACACCCCTTCCTCTTCTATGTGCAACTTGACTCCTTTCGAGGTTCTATATGGAACACCCCCTCCGGTAGGAGATATGTCCCCTATTCCAGAAGGTGACGACTCTTTTCACACCCCCTTGCTTGACAGATTAAAAGCCCTAGAGAAAGCCCAGAGATTCCTGTGGCAACAACTCTCCACCTCTTACCAGCCGTGGAACGAAGCAGCCCCACACCAATACCAGGTGGGAGACTTCGTCTATGTACGTCGTCACCAGGTACGAACCCTTGAACCCCGCTGGAAAGGACCATTCCAGGTACTCTTGACTACTCCCACCGCGGTCAAAGTCGATGGCATTACATCTTGGATCCATGCGTCCCATCTCAAGCCAGCCTTCCCACCTTCGGAGCTGCACTGGAAACTGGAAAAGACTGATAATCCTCTTAAGTTACGGGTCCGTCGTGTGGCTGGGAACCCTGCCTCCCCAGGGGAGCAGTGATCCTAATCCCCATCGGCCATGGAGATGGACGCTTACCCGCTGGGAGGACAGTAAGCTTATAAAAGCCTGGGAGGGATCGGGGGAACCAGGTTTTACGGCCTACTCCTGTGACCTTGCTCCTATAGCACCCTGTCTTAATCAGATTCCTGTTTACATGTGCCCCTTGTCCAACCCGGGAAAAGAATATTGTAATAGACCAGGATACCATTATTGTGCCTATTGGGGCTGTGAAACGCTGGCCACAGCCTGGACACCCCCATCCTGGGACCAACACCTTCAACTACAATGGGGCCCACTAGGGTGCACACCTGACGACTACTGGAAAAGAAAAGTAGTGACTTGCCATTACTTGATCATCAATGTCACAAACCCAGAAGACCCCAATTGGTTAATCAGATGCACCTGGGGCCTCCGATATTGGGAGCCGGGGAATGATAGAGGAGGCCTCATATTTATCAAAAAGGAACCGATATCCCCAGAAACTGTAAACATGGGTCCAAACCCCGAGCTCAGGCCTGGTAATCTTCAACCTTCCGCAAAAACTCGGCCCCTCCTACCCCTGGCTTCGACCACATCTGCAGGTGCCCAAACCAAGGAGCAGAGGCAGCCCCTGACCACTACTGCTCTAACGAACAGCCTTATTCCATCCCATATCCCTACTGCTCCAGCCACCCAAGCGCCTGACGCTGACAAGTTATATAATCTCATTTTGGGAGCATATCCAGCCCTTAATTACACTCAGAGTACACTAACTCAATCTTGTTGGCTCTGTCTAACTGCTTCTCCACCTTATTATGAAGGAATAGCTGTTAATGGGACCTACGATATGACCTCTAGTTCCTCATGTGACTGGCAGGGAAATCATAAGTTAACCCTCCCAGAAGTGTCTGGCCAAGGGACATGTCTGGGGCGACCTCCCACTGAGGTCTACCGGACACTGTGTTCACAAATAATTTATGTAAATCTCTCCACGGGTGCCCAATACTTGCTTCCACCCCAGGGGACCTGATGGGCCTGTAATACTGGTCTCACCCCTTGTGTCTCTACCCAAGCGTTTAACAATTCAGCCCATTTTTGTGTCATGGTAAAAGTATTTCCCCGAATTTTGTATCACCAAAGTGATGCATTTGAAAAAGAGGTAGAAGGAAAAACTAGATTCCAAAGGGAACCTGTGTCGCTGACCTTGGCAGTTCTAATGGGTCTGGGTGTTGCGACAGGAGTAGGGACTGGGACTGCAGCCATAATACACGGATCCCAACAGGTCTCAAAGTTACAGGCTGCCATTGACCAAGACTTAAAGGCCTTAGAAACGTCAGTAACTGCCCTACAGGAATCTTTGACTTCCCTATCAGAAGTAGTAGTACAGAACAGGCGTGGGCTAGATTTATTGTTTATGAAAGAAGGTGGCCTATGTGCTGCCTTGAAGGAAGAATGCTGCTTTTATACAGACCATTTGGGAGTAGTCAAAGAGTCCATGACCAAACTTAGGGAGCGTCTCCGGGAAAGACAGAGAGAATGGGAGGCACAACAGGGATGGTTCGAGTCTTGGTTCACTCAGTCCCCTTGGCTCACTATGTTGCTATCTGCCTTGGCAGGACCATTGATTGTACTACTTTTAATAATAACCATTGGACCGTGTATTTTAAACAGAATAGTTAACTTCTTACAGGGCCAAATTGGAAATGTCAAATTGATGGTTATTAGACAGCAATATTCGGTTCTAAATGGCCCTGAGGAACTCTCTGATCTCTAGGATTAGAGATTCGCACAAGAAGAAGTGGGGAATGTAAGGAAAAATTTTATGGGAACCAGCTGTCCTCCGGCTATAGATAAAGCATGAGACTGCCCAGGAGGTGCTAGGAGTTTCAGGAAATGATCTCCCATCCTGTCCTTGGGAAAAGAAACCACAAAAGAACATCTGTTGTTTACTCAGAGTAACTGCCCTGCCTTTGATCTACACTCCCTCATTCTTGACTCCCCTCACCAAACCCCCAAATGATTGTAAAAGTCAGCTTGAACTAACCAATGCTATCTGCTTCTGTAATTTTGCTTGCAAATGCCCGCCCTTTGTAGTTTTTGGGTTTAAAAATCTGGCTGAACTTTGGCTGGGGGCTCTCTGTTCCTGCGCGTTCAGTGAGCCCCATGCATGCTTGGTAAATAAACTCCCCTTGCTTATTGCATGAGAGAGTGTCTCTTGGAGTCTTCCTTCAGCGGCGAGATTCTCGACCCTTACAAAGACACACAAGCTTAAATACTACATGGTATCTCTCATTTGAGTGAGAAAGCACAGAAAACCAGAATAATAAAGGATGGATAGAACGGGACTATCTCTTGCAATAGGAAGTGGTCTAAGGTAAAAAGTCCAAGGGGTATGGAGGAGAGGAGGGGAAATAAATAAAGATATGCCATGTACAGGAATGTAATAACCTCAATTAATGTAAAGATTATATATCATAAGATGAGCTAAGATTAATAATACTAACAAGAATAAAAAATGGAATATAGGAATTGGAGAAGGAGGGAAGCTGTGGTAAGGAAGTGAAAGGGGATTTTAAAAAAAGAAACTGTAGTAGGTACATGTAACCATGCCCCAAGATGATGTACTGGTAAAATAAAAATAAGTTAGAAAACATGAAAATGTCCAACATTGCTGGCCCTTAGAGAAAGGTAAATTAAAACAACACTGAGAATCAGGTGTGGTGGTGCACCCCCGTAATCCCAGCAGTTTGGACGCTGAGGCAGGAGGATTGCTGCGAATTCAAGGTCAGCCTAGACTACATAGCAAGACAAGACCCTGTCTCAAAACAAAACCAAGCCGGGCGTGGTGGCGCACGCCTATAATTCGAGCACTCGGGAGGCTGAGGCAGGAGGATCGTTGT